AGATCCCAGTTACGACCCAAGAACGATTGTTGTGTAACGGGTAGCCATTATGTTCTCTCAGCAGATTTTCGTTACGCACCCGCGGCGTAGAGCAAAGTGAATCGAGTCGTCTCGAGTTAGGAAGGTGCAGCTTAAATGGAAATTGTTTGGCTATCTCCATAATCATTACTGGCACTCTTTTAATATTGAATGCGATCCACTCAGTTACATCACTGCTCTGCAGTGGTGTTTCAGGTGTGACGTCAGACTACAAAACTACCGGTCTCTAAACATCAACAGTCGCCAAATCGGTACTAATGACTAAACCTGGGAATACAAAATCGGTTAAAAGAATGCCTCTATCACGACCAAAATCACCTAGACAAGTCTATCCTTTACTGGAATCTTCACTCAACCCATGATTAATCACGTGACCTGATTTCTTGTACTCATGTAATGTTTGCACGCGGATACAGCAGTTTCTGACAGCAAACTCGGATGGGCGATTGTCATAAACTCAAACCGAACTTTGGTCATTCTTCAATCACACTACTAGGAAATGATAACTTCCATTGGGACAAAATGTGATTTTCGGTTGAATGAAACAGAGCTAGTGGGTAAAAGAAACGTATGTCATACGCGTGTACATTCGTCGAATAATGTTTTGAGAAGATACAAAATCGACTTAATTTAGCGCTTACACTGGATTATAATTCAATCGAAGAATTGAACGTCAATAAATAAACTATATTCACAGTATTTTTTGTTAAAAAATAGTATGATTGCTCACGCAAAAATGAATGGGAACTTGCCTGTTCGATTCTAAACTTTGCACCCTTAGAAATAGACTGATATAACTCCTGCGGTATTCAGTTCCATTTTTTTTCGCATGTGCTAGGTTTTTGTTTGAGGAGCTTTAGTTGTTATTTTGCGTACTTTTTTTACCACTTGGACTATTGATCCAAGTAATCAGGAACAGTTCGGGAAAAATTACATCTTTAATTTGCACTTACTAACAACCAACATGCACTTACGACCCGTGAGCGTGATTTATTATCCTGGATACCCGTTTCACATGTATACAATTTGCTTCCTTTTGCCATGTTGCAATATACTGGAAGTACCACAAAGCCTAATGTGAGGAATATTTGATTCCATCGACAACCGTTCCACTCAAAGTCCAACCGCGACGCAGGGGTTACGTCCCATCTCGCTAAAATATCATTAGGCGATCGTATGGCATTTCCACTTGCTCTTTATTCGTAACTATCTACACAACAACCAAGTCGGTGTTGACTGCCTTCGAAGTGTTTCCCCCATCAAGCCACAACCAGTCCACCAAGAAAACAAACTGAATGCTCAAGAATGCATTGCATCAAACCAACAACAATGCTCGCAACCTCCTATTTCCTCAACAAAACGGACTATGAGAGCATCACCAATCTGTGATCTATGGTTGACGTCCAGGAGCTAATATACCCACA